CTCTAATAGAAGATTAAATGAGATAACACATGTATGTATAGGACTTTGTCCTATTCACTTAAAGAAAATAAAAACACTTTAAAATGATTTTCTTCTTATAAGTGTAAAAAATAAAATCAAAGACAAAGAAAATAAACAATAGAAAAGATTTTTTTCACCAGGGTTACCTCTACAATAACAAACAGAACCGATAATATATGTACATGTTTGCCAGCGCGGCGGTGAGAGTGTGCATTTATTTTTATCCTTTTTGGTCAAGCCGATCCCTGTCATGCCCAATCCGCGCAACGTTCAAGTGGAGACGGAAAAAACATTTTTCTCACTAGAAAAATAATAAAAACACTCCATGCTGGAAAACAACCAGTCATTTTAAGAATTATTAATATTATTTTACCAATTAACCCTGTATATTCTTTTCCTTTGTGGCTCCTCCCCCAGTTTACCCGCCCGGACACTGGTGGGTCTTGGAGAGGAGTCGATGTCTCTCTGTTGAGCTGGAGGCGGTGAATCAGACACACAGCCACACGGGGGTGACTGATACAGCTGAGTCTGACGTGTCTCCTCCAGGAGACATCATGTGGGAGCCTTAAGCTCGACCTTCAGCTGCCCTCCTTCTTCCGACAGTCGCTCCCTTCGTGAACCCCGACTTCAGTGGAGACGTAGTAGCACAAGGACGCCTCAATCTTGTCGGTCACTGTCGTTCTCTGGCAGCCGCTCCCTCGTAGGATGTGCACTTCTTGTCGTGGTCGAGATGCGATTTTGTGACCAGTAAAAATAGGTCTCAAGGGAACTGTTTTTACAGAGAGGAGTTATCCTATCTCCCCTCTGGCTAATAACCTTTAAAAATGAACTTTATTGTGATCTGTGACCTCCTTTTTATTACTGCTTGCTTTAAAGTAACCACACTCTCTATAATATGTTATTACCTTGTTGCCTTACTGTAATAGGACTCTCATGTAATCAGAGAAAAACATTAAAGGACAACTTAAAGTATCAATATCCAGTCAGTTAATTTGTCTTTATGATGCTTGTAAGCAGTTTAATAGAATTTGCAAGAATTGCCACATTTAATTATACAGATTAAATATATTGATTAGTAATTGATTGATTAGTAATTGATGGTGATGAAAATAAAACACTCTAACTTGCTGAACTATCTTCCTGATTAAGAAGTGTGGCATTTTCTGATAATTTCAGAGAAGGCAGGACAGGATTAGAGCAGTCAGTTATTTACCCCCATGAGGTCCGGATTGTCGCCTGAAAAGATCTCTCTCAGAGTTGGGCTTGGTCCAATTTTGGTCTTCGGTCCTTAGACTCGACGGAGGAGAGTCGGTACTTGCCAGAATGTAGCAATTCTGGTTGCCTTCCTGTTTTTGGGGCCGTTAGGTACTTTTTTCTGTGGTAATAAAGTCCACACCTTGTTGTGTCAACATCTCAGAAAGGCGTTCTGCTGTGCACAAAGTTCACACTTCTATTTGTTAAATTGGGGAAGTAAGGCACTCTGACTTTTAGAAAGGGGAAGTGAGCGCTCTGCCTTACACAATGTCCACACTGTTTGTTCGCTTCAGGGAAACGCCTTGCCTTTCACAAGAATTGGCACACACACACATACAAACTGCCTCCACATAGTTCACTTTAAACTATCTTAAATTTCTTTCTGCTCTAATCACCATCTTCCATTTAAAACATAAAAATCACAAATCATAAAAATCACAATACATTAATTAAAAGAATCACAGTTAAGCATAATCATTATTTAGGTTACATACATTTCTTGTAAGTATTAAAATTGATTACTTCAATTCATATCATTCTCCTCCTGCCTCCTCAATCTCTTCACTTCCCGGGCCTCATCCTTTTTTCGATGTCCTCTTTTCCTCTCACGGTCTCTCTTTTGCAGGGGTGAAAACTCCTTAGGTTTGATTCCAATGTTGCTGTCACCCTGGAAAGCTGGTCCTCTTGACAATATTACACACAAACTTTATAATTATAAACATAAAAATGTCGGAACAACTACTCCCAATTTGAGAACGTGTAATGTCCGTTATCTCCTGAATGCAGCACAGAGTCCGTGCTGCAAAAAATGCTAACAACAAGATAGTGTTCAAGAACTCATCGGGACTTAAATCATTGCTGAGACTTTTGACAAACCCAATAAAATTGCCAGAGAGGACGCAGATCTCAAGCACTTTAATGATAGAAAAGATGGAGCTTGATGAGCAGCCGTTCATCCTTGCTAAAGACCAAAGCTTTTATCTCCTTGTTGTTAGCCACGGTTTACCATCGTTAGCCACGGCATGTGTCTCATTTCTCTCTGACAGAGCAACAGTTAATGGATCGTATGAAGAGACGAAACACATGATTACTAAAACACGAAACACAGCTGCTGTCATTGAGCAGGGAGGAAGTGAGTGACAAATTATAGCAGACCCATCAAATACTTTAAAGGTGTCCACGATTAGTTGTAACATTAGACTTTATTTGATAAACATTTATTTTAACTGTAAAATAAAGACTGTAAAAATACTGTAGGCTGTTTAGTTTTTATAATTTTTAAACTAAATTTTTACAAATATATTACACGGACGGAGCCATTTTATTTACACACAAAGCATTCTGGGTAAATGATGACATCAACAGGTCCTCGGTGTGAGCGAGCTATATC